AATTGTTTTGATCTACATGTTACACCAATTTTTATAATTACTGGTGCTAAACACCACTGGTTTGAGTTATAATAACTGTTTTTTTAAACTTTAGATTAAACTTTAATTTTATGTAATTTTTATAAAATACGTAATAAACTCTAATTTTAGCTTATTAATATTATTAATAAGTTAAAATTAGGGTTTATTATGTCTTTATAAAAATTTACATATTAATCTAAAGTTTAAAACAATATATGAAAAATAAATTAGAAATCGGAAATTAATAATCGTTAATCATAATCGATTATATATATTTTTTTAAAATTGAGTTTAATTTTTTGGTTCGTGTACGTTGCACTTTAATCAGTATTAATTTTTGTCACGGCTGATGCTGAATATCACGTGAAAATTCGGGCCAGAAATTGCAGATCGCATGTCGATCAGGGAAAAATCAAAATAATCATACAAAAAGTTCAAGTTCGTTTGTGTTAGGGTTATCGCCTATATTAACGTTAGAGTTTAGGAGGTTATACAGTAAAATTGCTCAAGAAAAACTTTTTGTTTGAGAAATCAGCTGTTTTGAATTTTCATTCAGCATCAGCCGTGACAATTTTTAATCAACGGTCAGTTGAAAGCGGCACCTAACTTCAATGCTAATTTTAAATTAATATGACCGTTTGAAATCAAGTGGTTTTATAGCACGTGACCCCATATATATTTTGATATTGAATATTTTTGATGTTTTGTATTACGTGAAATAATATTAAAAGGAGGGTAGGAAAGGTTTTATTACTATCAACAGTAATTATGAAAATCATTTAATAAATTTATTATTACACTACAAAGCAATTGTACTAAGGACGAACCATTAGCAAAATTATGGAATATACAAGATGATGAAATACTCAAATTTTTAAGCACCGAGAAGAATTTAGTAATGGTGGATAGACAATTAAAACCGTTACTGAATGATTTTGATTTTGGAGGAACGTATATAAATGTAGAAAAAAACAAAATAATTATTAATACAATTAATTAAACTAAAGCTCAAATTATAAAATCCTTACCCAAGATAAAAAATTTGAACATTTATTAGCGTTTAGAGATGCAAACAATTCTCTAGCTAAATTAAAATCCACGTTAAATAAAATCGTTAACTTAACTGAAGAATACAATCCAATTGAAATTGTTTTTTATATTGATATATTAGAAAATAATATTGTAATATTTTTACCACCTAAAGATGATGAACTCAATAAAAAAATAAATAAACTATTCATAGACGCCACCAGACCATACAAACCGATACTACTTTTTGCAGATGATGATGATGAACCTCCTAATCCACTTATGCAAAAACGTCAAGAAAGTTCTAGTGGCTCAATATCTGGAATGATTTTAAGTGGAGATGGCATAGTAAATTGGGACAGTGGCATTCAGTGCTCAGCAGGTTTTTGGGCAAGAGATTCAGTAAACTCAAATTTTAATGTTCTTGTAACTGCAGGACATTGTTCCGAATCTCAAGAAGATGGTTATTTTCTTAGTCCATGGGATTCAGAATTTGATCCAACAGATCACAATTTTATCGGGGAAGCAGGCAAATATTTTATAGAACCATTTGATGCTGGCTTGGTCAAGGTAGAAAATGATCATTTCATACCATCAATTGGTGTAAGAAATACTGATAGTAAAATATTTAATGAACTATGGATATATGATGATACTCCTGTGTCTACTCATGGTGCTCATATATGTAAATCTGGCTCTACTACTCATGTCACTTGTGGATATGTATTGTCGTTTAATGGTTTTTATACCAATGAATTTAGTTTCAGAAGGGAGTTGATCATTGGTACTGATTTTGAGGCTGGTGCGGGTGATTGTGGGGGAATTGTATTTTCTTACCGAGATTTGCGTTTGGTGAGTCTAATCGGTATATTCAGTGCATCTGGGTATGTTTCTGTAACTGTACCATTGAGAACAATTCTCGATAAATTTGAAGTAGAGCCTTATTTACTTAAATCTCTCGAGGACCCTGAAGATATCAATTCTTGATAAATTTGAAATAAAGCCTTATATCTCGAGGAATCTGAAGATTTGAAAAGATCTGAATTCCTATAATTGACTAATTTATGTAATTAAAATGTGATTATCAGTAACTAATCAAATTCATTTAAAAAAGTTAATTGTGAGCGAATACAAATTGTTGCGAGAATTCATTTACTTTAATCGTCATTACATTTACTGAAAATGGTTACAATTTTTTCTTTAGTTTATATCGTTAATTAAACTGGTTAAGTAACATGAATTATTAAAATTTTAGATATTAGGAGGTTTTGTTATTAAAAAATCTTTCTTGTGTTTCTAAATTTCAAAGTCAGAAAACGAAATAAAGATTCTATATTATATAAATTATAAACTTTTATATTGTTAACTATCATAAAATAAAATTTATATATCAATTATTTCAAAATAAATACATTACTTATTTTATCTAATTTATATCAATTATTTCAAAATAAATACATTACTTATTTTATCTAAAATTATATGTATGTCAAATTACAACTTACCTACTTGCAGAATTTATTTTTTTAAAATCATTTTTATTGAATTTAATTAGACATTATTGATCATGAAAATTTT